ATGACCTAAAAACAAAAATGTAAATACGTGTGACTTTTGCTGTAACGACGAGTTTGCAGCAGTTTGACTATAGTTTTCAGTACGATTTCATGAGTTTAAGTTAGGTTAGTATAAGTATAGGTCGATCCAAAAAACAGTATTCCACTTGGTCAGCTTAGAATCCATTCCATTCTGATATTTAAACACTGCTAAATATTTATCGGAAAGACCACACACATTGCCCCAACTTTGTGGAGCTGGTTAATATCAATTCAAGTTATTTCTCCAGATTCGTCGAAGATATGACTGCCGAGATGTTTCAACCTTAGTCTTACGATAGCTGGACAACCTATGCGTTTCCACCTCACTTTTCTCCATATAATTTGACAATTAGCCTATGGGATACTGAGAAGTGAGAACTCTTATGATTGTGGCTGAGAGCTAGTAGGTTAGTGGATTTCGTGCGTTATACGCTAGGCCAGAAGGTTTTATCAGTCACACGGGAGCTAGTTGTTGACCAGTGCCAGCTAAACATGTGCGAAGCTGCACTTCGCGTTAGAATACCTTTGTAAAACGGAGACCCAGCTCGTTCCCAATCCGATGTAATTGGGACAAAAGGTCTCCCTCTCTTGCAGGCTCATCGGTTTTGAAGTTTTCAACGACTCTCTTATGACTAAGCACCCAAACGAGTCTGATAATAAAGTAACTTGATGCTATCGATACTGAGGACAGACACCCCTCGATTAGCTTGGAGCAATCAATGAATGAGCAATTTACCTTAATATTTACGTTAAAATATTTTTATTCCAGAAATACAATTTTTATATACATATGTAAATAAAAAACTGCTACCACCTCTTTAAGCTTAATGTTGAAATGCGACTTACTTTTCCCCCACCAGCTTCTTTATATTGCTTATCATATAACAAATAAATACATGCACATCTGTGCATATATGTGCGTCTAGGTACATATTTATTTGATGAGAAGCCCATAAAAGGGCCCCTATGTTCCGGGTTTTGGGCAAACAAATTGCATGTGGTCACGCCTCAGCTCAAACAAACATACACACATATTATACGTGAACGTTGGCGTTTTTCCACAAACAACACCAGAAACGACCGCAAACATAACTTCTTAGAATTTATGACGCCCAATAAATTCGACGTGGAACCGGAACGAAGGCGCTGAAAGAAGATGAAATGGTAAAAATATGTAAGCAAAAAACCTGAAAAATACGAAAAAATATAAAAAAATGAGTAATAGAAGGCAACCGTGTTGATAAAGCTCTCCTCTGTCACAGAAGCTGACGCATGAGTCAAATAAAGTCGATGAATTACTTTTCTCACCGGAAGTCCTGCGTAGCTGTAGCGAAAATAAAGTAAACCAAATATGTCAGAAGCCTGCCAGCAAAGAGAAGCAAGTAGAAAAAGTGCTAAATAACAGTGAAAGTGGACATGCAACATGGTGTTGCAGGCACCTGCAGTAAATCGACGAAACTGAAGAGTGAAAAATATTAAAGCACAGTTTGCTGACTGACCAACCAGCGGGTATGTAGTGCAAAAGTATTTTGCTTTGCAATTTTACCAGCAGTGCCTATGCATAACATGCCTAGTGTGGGAAGTTCGCCCGGTTGCGAAGCATACATTTCAGCGCAGCCAAGTAAATGCTTATATAGTTACTGGCATAGTCAAGGTTGTGGTCAAGCAAGTTGGCAACAAAAAATTGTAAATAAAAGTACATAAAGCCACTGATAGGATTGGATTGCTGGGATTTAACAATCACTTTATTAAGCTACTGACAACAATAGATATTTTCTATAGCATATGCACTTTTATACTAAATTTAGTGTAAAATGTGCAATAGAGCTATGGTGTATGTGTGTGAAAATTGTATTTTGGAAAAATATCTTATTCCTTTGAATATAAAAGTAATTTTTGCTTTTATTCAAATTGTTACTAACTGATCGCCTTTTCTGACTTTTTCATTATTATTTTAATAATTCGTTTTCACATAAATTGTTAAGGATTCAATAGCCTCGTCAGAGGTTAAAAAATTTGCGCAATCAAAATTGTTTTTAATTTTTTTTTATTGTGTTTAGCCCACATTTTTACTTGGTGAAATCAAAACAATAGCGGTGTATAAATATATGCTTGGAAGTTTCCTTAATTTTGCTCCAGAGAATTGTTGATAAATTTTAGTAATTTTCTATGACTCTTATTTGACACAAATACAATGCCGTTCATTTAGTTTACTGCTGTCGTAAAGTGGCACAAAACTCGCTACATAATAATAAAGATGAAATCAACAAAATCAAGCCGGTAAGGATTCTTTTTAATGTAAGATTTTCCCAAACATATTTAATTGTAATTCGGATTAGAAAATAATTATTTGCAAAATTTGCTCGACTTATTTTACAATTAATATCAATATAAATAAAAAATTAATTAACAACGCACTTAAATATTTATGCAAACAAAACATATAATAAATCACAAAATCTAATTTATTGAAAATATTGATCTTTGTCTTCTCGTACACTACATAAAAAACAACACAACTTTTCTATAACTTTTAATTAAGGATTATCAACTTGTTCGAAATTTGAGACACATTCATTTCAATTCAATCCGGCAGAGCCCCAGTATCTACCAGGTGTACCGGTATGAAATGAGAAAGTAAAAGAAAAAATTATTTAAAGTATAGACCATTGCTTTTTAAACATTTTGATCACCTTTCTGGCAATTTGTGAATAACATGCTAATAGAAATGTTCGTCTTTCGAAGCAAACCCATCAGACACCCAATTTTCAACTTCTGCGTAAGAATCATAGTGCTGCTCAGCCAATGCGTGTCCCATCGACGAAAACAAATGGTAATCAAAAGGCGCCAAGCCTGGTGAACACCGCGGGTGGGGTAGCAGCACCCAGCCAAGTACTTAGATTGCATCCAAAAACCGATTTTACTTTGGCAGTTCGGCGTCTTCAACCATTTTTGGTGGTCTTCAACGTTCTTCATTTCTCACATCAAAATCATTATCTCTGAACCGTTAAAACAATATTTTGCATATTGTTTCTGATAAAGCATGATCACCATATGTCTCGACAAGCATTCGATGAGACTGTGCAGCACTTTTCTTCAAATGGAAACAAAAAATTAATGCTTTCCGCAAATCATCACTTTGCGGTACAAAATTTGACATTTTGAACACACATGCTTCTCTCTCAATTTCTCTCTTCAAAAATACATTAGTTACCATAACGCTGTAATCGATAACCAATTTTGAGCAGAGAATGACGTAGTAGAAAAATTAATTGCGGTGAATCGGACCATCAGTAGATATTTGGTAGAGGTTGTCATGTTATTTATAGGCTTCGCATTGATGCTATACAAAAAGGTCGATTAACAAGCTTTTTGAAAGCGATTTTTTCTGTAAGAAGCATTTTCAGAACATAGGCGGGTTACGAGATTTTTCATTATACTAAAAATAGATGTGCAAAATAAAAATAAAATAAATCATTAATCTTACTCGGTAGCTGGGATTGAGCTCAGGTCCTATTTGCAATTTTGTACCGGCTAAAATGATCCGTTCCCACGACAGTCGGGTCTACGTAACCGGAACGGACCTGGGTATATTCCGGCCAAGGACTGTCAACTCTACAGAATTCTACCGCTACAACAACAACATCAATACTTGTAGATGCTCTCGCCCACCTTTAAGTTAAAAAAGTGCGTACCTTACAAACTATTATGGATATCATTGGCGGTCCTATCAGCCCATCTATATATTATTATCTCTCTGTTCAAAACCATAAATATTTTATCCAATTAAGCAAAAGTACTCGAATTTGAAGAAAGAATTATAAAGACGAGAAATTTGGTTGGATAAACAATTTCGAAAAGTGACGACCTTTCCAACAGTTTATTATATATGATGTTTCATAAGCTAATAAGACAATTCTTATTCAAACGTTACAGGATCTGTTCACCTATTAAATCGCTGAGTATTTCACGGAACAATTATATGCTCTTAATTGATGTGCTCTCTCCCTCTTCCATTATTAAAACTCACACTGAGCAAATTTTAATTAAATTGCTGAATACACTATAATTTTTTATTTAACTATAAAATTTTGTTGCACATTTTGCCGAAATTACTTTTACTATACATAACCGAAAATATTATTTAGATAATAAGTATTTATATTTGTTTGATTGTGAGATTATTAATTAGGAACTAACGATGCAAATAACATTTATAAAATGAAAAAAAAAAATATTATATTAAATTATGCTAAATTTCTATATCTATATATATATATATATATCTATTTGTTTATTTATATATATATATATGTTTGTGTATTATGTATAAATGCAGATGCGGGTACTATTATATAGATACATATATTTCAGCAAATGTGTGACCGCTGCAGCTATTTTTTTATCTATTGCGCTTTGATTTTTCTTTACTCTTGGCAAAGCCTTTGTTTTATTGCTTTACAAGTACTTCGATATAATTGCAATCTTATATATTCTCGCTCAGATTTGCAGTCACTGCACTTTTTTGATATGCTGTTTCATATAAATGTATATGTATTTACATATGTAAGTACCTACATGTATTCGTAGCTAATTGGCTTAAGCATTTTTTGTTATTTTATTCCTTTCTTCTTTTTTCCTATTCTGCTGATTGCATTACTCGACAGAATACTTAAAAATTCTGCTACTGTGACACTTTTGTATCCACCGGACGTGTTGAACGGGATAACTTTCCCTTACCACTCACATTTCATGCACACAATAGTCTAGACGGCAAGTTATCCTTTTTGGCTTTCTGCTTTTCGATTAGATTTGTAGAGTTTATATAGTTGATTAGTTGAATATTAGTTGAAAGTTGTTGTTGGAAAGTATGAAGACTTGTTGTGGAATAGTTGTGAGAAAATTATGCGAAACATTATACATAGTTTTTGTCGATTTTTTCTTTGGTTTACAACTATTTTAAATTTTTTTTATATTTAATTTTTTTTTTTTTTTTTTTTTTTTTTTTTTGTAGATTTTACATAAATAGGTTGAAAACTTTTTTTGCTGTTATCATGCCATTATTGCTTGCACTATTCTACTACTAAAATCGTAACGGTAAATTTGAAAACACACTTTCGAAACTAAAATTTTGTTAAGCTATTAAAACTGAGATAATCATGTGGATTCCCGTGGGAAGCTTGAAGTAATTATTTTGAAAGAAGTTATAGTGACTAAATTATTGCTAGATTGCGTGAACAAAATAAATAAAAATTATTTATGGAGCTATTTGCGTAAGCGTATAGGCAGTACTAGAAAGCTAAGGGTGTTGAAGAGTTGAAAATTTCATTGTACTCGGCTAAGTTGGTAAAAAAGCAATATTTATTCTTCAAGTGCGAAATACTTATATCGCAAACGAAACTATTAGTTTCAGCTCTTTCATATTAAATATTTATCGTTTTCTTCGTTTTCACACTCAGACTCAGCCGAGACGCACGCTGATTTGCGTAAATGTAATGAAAAGAGAAATTGAAAAAAAACTAACTAAAATTTTTGACTTTGTTAAGCGTGAAAATTATTTCTAACGGTATTTTTGCATGTTGTAACTATATGTTCTATTAGCAAAGCGGCTATCGTTTAACGCTATTTTGTTAACTGCTTGTGTGCGCTTTTTTCTTGAATTTTCTTTAAAACTTTTTTCATAACAACTTTCTATAATTTTCTATGCGCTGCACTTTACTGCTATTTCCTTTTTGTTTTGTTAATTGAATTTCTTTCTTCTCTTCCTTTTTTGTTGTACATAATTCTCTATACGTAATATTAATTTTCTCTTATACGCTCTGCTTTGTATGCTTCTATAGTGTTGTTGTTTATGATTGGAAATTTCATCGTACAATCGCCTTCGTTTTTCGATTTCGCTGATTTTGTGTTTGTTTAATTTTTTTTTTTCTTTGGCTTTTATCCTTTTTTTTTAGTTTTGTGGCAAAAATGCTTTTTTTCGCAGTTTTTCATGCGTTACTTTAATAGACGATCAACAAGTTGTTCTCGTTGAAGCCGGCCGAATGCCCAGCATTGCGTACAATGAAACACGATCCATCGAAGTGCATACGTTTTTCGTTACGACTATAAATAATGGAAGTAATATATATTTAAGAAAAAAGAAGAAATCATTAGAAAAATATTGATCCCTAGAAAGTAATGAATATAAAAGGCTAGATAGCTTTTAACTATATTGATTTTCGAGGTATTATTTTTCTACCAAGTTAAGGTTTTTATGCACTAAGGTTAATGATCGATTTATATATGCACTCGTAAGTATTCCGACATAGAATTTTATTTATGCTTCTAAAGTGTTGTCAGATGTTTTATAGAAAATTAAGTCACGTACGATGTTACTTTCCGGCACTACACATCCACTATATTTTCATCGCATGATCGCGTTTGTCCTGTTTTCCGTAAGCATTCACGATTTTTATTTGTTTGACCAAATAATTTATTTAAAAGAGCTCCAAAGTTCTAGAAGCTAGAGGTGGATAAGCCAAGCGTCACTATAATCGATTTACGATATTTCATCTACATTCGAGTCATTCTTCCCAAATTCCCAGATTTTCAAGACCAGACAAGTTAAAAAACTGTTAGACCCTTTCATATATGAGCTAGCCACCATCAATTTACATATCAACAAGTGAGAACTACAGTTGAGTATAGGTTTTAACCAAAACTTTGCGGTAAAAAATTATCTCTACGAAACTTATTGCTGCCGTATTTTATAGAACTTTGAAAAACAGTGTCTTAGCACTAAACCAATTTGTAATCTGAATCTAGATGTTTGAAAATTCCTCGTTGTAGGGTCAACCTGCTTTCAATTTTGCTATCATAGGGTAGGGTAATCTGATTTTAGACATTAAACACTCGCTAAAAGATCTACCACAATATTTAAGCAGTTAAGAAGAGGTTCAAGGTTATTAGACAATAAAGTACATTGTTTTTGTAGATTTAAAAAAAATTCGTTTGCTATGCTTCGGAGCGCTATGATTTTTTCACTCACCGAACGAACAAATGTGAAGTTTTGCCCAACGAGGCTGTACAGTGAATACCTGGCGTGGTCAAAGTGGCTGAACCATTGCCTGGACTAGTGCGTATCAAACATTTGTTATGAGTTCGTGTCAATCTAAAAGCAAATTTATTAAATAACAAACTTATTAAAATATTTCCCAGTATTTGAATTTACTTTACTAGTCCATCTGCGGCCTGCGTGATGCGGAAACCATTAATTTCATAAATTTCAGTGCCCTCATCTGTGCAAGAATATGTCGAATTTTGTATTACTTCATTAGCATCTTGAACATAGGACGGACCATGGCGGGAGTCACTATAATGAAAACAGTTTCGAAATTGATTTAAGAGTTTTACAATATTTTTCAAGCAGTCTTCACGCACTCATAAAACACAGTCAAAGTGTAGTCCTTTGTGAGATCAGTGAAGGTATCAGTGGTGGTGCGCGTACCAGCCGTGTCCACAAGATAGATCAAAGCACAAGATTCGCTAGTAAAACTGACGCCTTTGTACCACATCTTAGCATAGCGACTGAGGAAAGAAGGCGGCCATTTATTTCCAGTAATTGTAAATTATTATTATTCCTTTGTTTAACTCACACATAGTTGTTGGTTTTCATGCCATCATAGGTGACTATCTCCACCTTGGAGCCACTCTGCAGTATACGTCCGTTTGGATGAATCAGCGCTGAGTTGCTGCAATTGCGTGACAGTGCAATGGCCACCATGCTGCGCTGATTAAGAACGCGCACCGCCTTGTCCAGCGTCATATCAATGCTGAAGGGTGGAGAATATACAGAAAGTTATTGTAGAATATTTATAATATTCCTATAACTGAAGCTGCAAGTAATTTGTTGTATGCCTACCGTATTCCGTCACGCAGACGCAACTGTATGGTGCCATTAGTCATGGCAATGGGGCCAGCACCTGGACAAGGTGGCGGAGTTGGATTCTCGTATTCAACACCGCGGTGACTGCCGCTCAAGCGTCCGACTGCGTATGGTGGCGGCGGCATTGGTTGTGGAAACTGCTGCGCGTGGTGAGAGGGCGACATGGTAGGCGGCTGTGGATGGGAATTATGATAGATAAATGATAAAGGAAGTTATCTCAATACTCAGCGATACAAGGATACATAAACTTATTAACTGCTTCGAAAGCTGGCAACAATAAATGGAGAGGCCCAAGATTTTTAAGGCAACTACGAGCGTCTCAAGGATTTCATGATCAGTTATTTCATGAAAAAATTTGTTGCTGCTTACCAAAAGGCTGACCGCTTTTAGAAGAAATTTTGCCGATGCTGAGTCAGAGTTTAGGCTTAGGTTTTGAGAACCCACGTTCTTTAAATTTCCCACCAGGTTACGTTAAAAATCGAACCTTACAGGAATCTCACTTGGATAGCTTATAATCGGTACGTTGTGATTCCGGTTTGCGTCCGACTGTGTTTTTAGCTTTGCAACATAAATGCCTTTTTACTCCGACCAAGACCGGTGAAATTATTACTTGAAGATGTAACTCGAAAAAGTTCGGTCAAAACATTAACTTTCCTAAAAAAAAGCCAGGTTATTAGTAGCAATGTAGTCAGACCAATGCAGACTGAAATCATATTGTCGACAGGATACAGAAATTCCTGCTACTTTATATGGTAGTGGAGACCCCATAGCACTTGCTGCTCCATCTTGGCAATCGTTCGCAAAAACGAATAATTTTTAAGGATCGTCGTATCCATAAAGATAGCGCATTGCCTACCTTACTATAGGAGCCCTAAGGGATTCCTGAACGTATTCAGGTCGAGTATTACCGGTTATTCGCATAGCAGAGGAACTTTGTAAATAATAAACTAAGCACATACATATAAATACCTTCAGTTCGGTGTTCTACCATGAAGGTTTCAAAGATTTCACTTACCATACGGCACATATCATTCTCGAAACCATAGATCGGAGATGGCGGTGGTGCTACAGGATAGCGAGTATTGAAGACACCCCTTGTCATGCCGCCGCTACGTCCAGTCAGTGGCGTTTCATAGCCACCATAATGATGCGGAGAAGCTGCACTCATGTGTACCGGTATGGGCATTTGACGAGCCTGCAATGCGGCTGATGGTGTGGATGTCTCCTTGGGCGTCATAACGGCACCAGGTGCTGTGGCAGTGTTGGCGGAAGTGACCGACGAACGTTGCTGCTGCGATACAAAGGGAGCAGCGCTGGCATTGAAACGCGACTGTGAAGAGAAAAATAATGAGAATGATTTATGAAAGAGAATTATGCATTTATTGTTGAGCATAAAATATATCAAAGTATCGTAAGAGAGCGCAATTAGCGGAAATTCGAAAAACTGGGATTGACAATCAGCTGGCAGCCGTTGTCAACCGGCTTGAGAAAACGCAATTGACATTTCACTGACATTTAAATGAATTTTTTCCTCATATTGCACACACAGATGATTTTACGCGAAGAGCACTGTATATAAGTGAAACGACACACCTGATTTCCGGCGCACTGTCATAAGCTAATAAATCAAAAATAGCAAACAAAGAGAATTAAAAAAGGCAAAAGTGCTGACTCACCGATGACGGCGTTATGGCAGTGAAAACGGAGCGTTGCCGCACACCATTCGGTGTCTTTGTTGGCGAGCGTAAAATGTTATTAATCTTTTCATTCATATTGACACGCGCCAGAAAGTCCTCGGTGTTGAAGCCAATTAGGCTGCTCACTGGCAATGATGGCGGTTTCGGTGTTTCCGGCTGTACAGGCTTCGGCTTCTCCTCCACCTGATCCTTAACTGGCTTTTTCAGTTCCGTAGCGTTTTCCGAATTCATTTTCTTCAAGCTTTTACTGTCTTCAAAACTGTTTTAGTGACACTATAAGAAAACTCTGCAATTGCTTTGGTTAAGTGGTGGAGGTGTTGCTGGTGGAGGGGGTATTAAGAGTTGGTCACAACTGTTGTGCTGCAATATAATGATGACTAACGCAAATTTTACGCACTTTTATTATAGTAACTTTGCAGTGTTTAACGGTCTGCGAAAATTATTTGCTAGCGACGCGTTACGTTTTTTCCTTTTTGGTGGAAGAAAACTTTTTTGGTACGTTTTGGAGAGAGAAAAAAACTGAAATTCGAATTTTTATTGCATGTGTCTGCGTGCGTAAAAAATTTTCAACTGAATACGAAATGTTAAAAATTCTCAAGATTTGACGAAATTGACAAAATTCAAAGGTTGCTAGTAATTTTCCAAACTCAGGTCAGTGCATACACTTCACAATCGTTGTGGCAGTGACAAGGCATGATTGAAACAGATGACGCGGAACAGCTGAATCAGCTGCTGTTTGACAGCACTGCGTTAGGGGAAATGCCATGCGAGTGACAGATGTTCAAACATATGTAATTTTGAAATGTAACTGTAAAGTAATCACTATTGGAATGAAGATTTCCAAAAAAAAAAAACACAAACTGTTATTTTTTGCAGTATGCTATTGAAATGTACATGGTGGTCTGCTGCTGTTACATGGTATTTTGTGCATACTTTTAGGCGCGTTGGTTAAATTACATTGTGGCAGAGAACGTAAATGAACATTCTCTGCATTTACGTTCTCTGGTTATATTCATTAACATTCTCTGCTCTGGTTATGATTTCATGCAGAATTAATTAACAGAGCATCATATTCCGCTAAAATTTACAATTCCAGCTAACTCCAAAATTTTTTAATTTCAATATTTATAAAGCAAATTCTTTCGAATAACCTTTTTTAGATTTATGCATAATACACACATATAACATATGTATATTTATATTATATATTATATAAAGCAACGGTACTGCATTCGAAAGTAAATCTTATTGCCAGCGGTATTAATTTGATTGCGATATGATCATTAAAAGCCAAAGGTATGAGCAAAGTTATAAAAATGACAATGAAAACAATGTAAGAAAGTCAAACGTCAGAAGATAACAAATACATATATGTACATACATTAAAATAACAAATTGTAGTATACGTATGAAATTGAAGTACTAATCATCCATACATACATACATTGTTATACTTGTCTCAACGGTTGTGGTATATCACTACGCTTCAATGAAATAAAGTTAATGAGGCCATCGAGAACCTTTAGCTCAGTGGATAGCTTAAATACAGATATATGGTTTACGGATTTTGTTTTAATGGTTATGGCCCTGATGCTGATCTTGATATTAAGAATGAAGTAGCATACTTACATACGTAAGAAGAAGAAAAGTATTCAACATTTTTTCTTTTTTTTTTTATATATTTTATATTGCTTTCTGAATTAATGCAACAAAGGTTCATTCGCGATTAACAATAAACGACTTTCTAAATAATGAAAACTAAATTCAAAATATTAGTTTAGCAAAATACGAAGAAATTTTATCGAAAATGGCAAGAAAATTGCAGAAAAAAGTCTAAAATAGACATTTTCAATAGAATATAAAATAAGCGTAGATGAGATTATATTCAATAGTTATTCAATTTCTGGAAATTGATTGAATCATACAGCAAAATATTTGAAATTAGTTTATACTTGTAAATATTATTGATTAGTCTCTAACTTAGAGGGTTTTTAAAGAACAAACAGAGACATCTGAAAGTCGCTATCTAAACATTTAAAGAGTCATACGTTTTGAGCGCAAATACAGCCACATAATTTTTCAAACTAGACGCGTTGTGTTCAAGAAAAGCCATAAGTACATGTAACACTTAACTTTTTAGTAATTCTGTTTTTTAAAGTTGCACCTCTTCTTCTATTTCATGAGTGACTTGACTTTAATCGACAAATAGACCTACTATAACGAAATTCGTCTGCATCGAAAACTCTAGTTTAACTTCGTGATTGACAAGTCACCTCACTTAGGTATAGATCGTATAATAATATGTATAATATTCTTCTCGAAAATAATTTTATTTTTCGAAATTACTGTACTTCGCCCTCACTATCCACCAACACCAGCAAGTAGCGGCGAGAGCTAAATAATAATGTACATATCATAACAACATCATAGCACATGTACAGAAATATAATAATAACAAGGGTGTATATTTGCTCTATACGGTGTACAAATTCAATCGGTCTCAATTTTCTGTGTGTTGGCAATTGTTTGTTAACACCAAAGTTTTGCCTGACTATTTTATCAATTTTCCATAATTTTACAACGAGTTCGCTGAGTCTGACTGTTGCAGTACAGGTTCGAATTAAAAGTCCGCTTATAGCAGATGTTTCTCACAAATTCACTAAACACATAGCATCCTTGGCTTGCTTACGCGTTTCACAGCTCATTTAACGTTGTAATAAGTGAGCCTTTTTAGTCACTAATACCGATTCTCTCTCAGAAATGGATGTTTTGATGCGTTTCACAGCGCTACGCAGATGGGAATTCGGTCCATTAGGTTATTTTTGTTAACTCGTGTGACAACACACATCGAGTTTAGCTTTGTATTACGCATAATTCAAATCGTTTCAAACGGTAATTTGAGCAATTGCAATATTTATTACATGACGATCGACTCGATATTTTAGACAATTGACATTGCCTTACAAAGTAGTGCGCCTTTGACATAAAATTCATCGTAATGGAATCGACAAAACTGAAACTTTCGCCTTTTCGCAGAAACTCTGTAAAATAACCTAACGAGAACGCACACATACAACTAAGATTACGAACTGATTCTATAGATTATAGAGTACCTATACTATAGCACTTATGGTATATGCGAGAGGTATAAATGCTAAAGCCATATATTGAAAAATCATGGATTTATTTATACTACGCCTATTTTATGTTTGATATCATTCTTCCAGCATTTTTCATAGATCTGGTATGATGACAGTAAATAGCTGTGAGCTTATTACTAGGCACAGCTCAATTTGTTTTCAATACTTAATGCAGCGAGAGACGCGTCTATAAACTTTTCCGCTAATTTTTCCCTCTTTGCCACAAGGCGTTGAACGTTCCTCTATGTATCAACATAAAAATTTTGAACTTGACCGATCAGCTTTTATAGTAAATATCAGATAGACCTAAAAGTTCGTAAAAACATTTAAAATTCAAATTTAATTTGTTATAAATTACACCGTTATAAATACCAATCAATATTAATTTATAAAATTTTGAAAAGTAAATAAGAGCTTTAATAAGTGAAAAGTTAATTAAAAATAAAAAAATCAACGGTGCTCTTCAAAAATTAATCAAAATAAAAAACATTAAAATTATATTTCAAGTATTCTTTTGGCAATTCGTTATATTGCATGCTCTGAATGGCTTTTAAATTACTTCCTCACTTCATTGATAAAGCGTGCCTGCTATGTTGAAAAGTACTGCAAAAATATATAATGCTTATGATGAGCAACAGAAAACGATTTATCATCAAATCGATGGTCAGTGGTCAATGGTGGAAAAGTTTAATGATCTGTATGTTTTTGCGATTGTCCGTGCGTAGGCAAAATACAGCGGGCATGAGTATTGAAAGCTAAGGGGAAATAAATTGTCTTGACGGCAATTTTTCCAAAAAGTTTTCCACTGTAAATGCAAAGAACTTGTATATACAAATAAAGAAGTAAATACCGTCTGAGTAAAATAGCTACAATGAAACTACTTAGCACATCAAAAGCTGATGGCGGCTTGTTTGTCAACAGGAATGTCAATAAAGACAATTGAGAGCAATAAATGTATTGACATTGCAGCTAAGAACTCTTACGCTGCTACTTGTATAATTGAGAAATTTATTTATATAATTTTGGGCGTCTGAGTGTTTAAAGTAAACCAAATATACATATATATTTCTTAGGCAAAGCTTTTTGAACAGAAATTTATAAATAACCCTTAAACAATGCTAATTTCCAAATCTCTTAAAATAAAGACAAGTTCATGGAAATGCAAATAATGTCGCGCAGCCAATTGCAAAAACAGGAAATATTATAAAGTCGACCAATAATTCACTTTTTCAGGCACAAACATGTCATGCCTCGCTGCTAAAACAAATAGAAGGCCAATAGAAGCAGATTAGCACTGTCGTTAAAATAATTTTTCATTATTAATCAACATATATGTGTGCAAATGTAATGTTGTTTCCATTTTGTCTTATATAATTGTTGTGCTTATTTTCACGTTTCTTATTATTGTTATTGTTGTTGTTACGCAATTAAAGCGTTGAAAGTGCTACAAACGTGGCGCAACAACTTGTCGTCAATACAAGGTGAAATCCACGCGCACACAAACACACTACAATAGGCTTCAGTAAATACTCGTGCCAGACGCGCCGGGGCGTATGTGGAACACTGAGCTGCTAACCTATTACAAAGCGATTTGTCAAATTGATCGTGTAAGGTTTCAGCAATAGGTTCTGTTATATATCATGCGATTATATACACAAATACTTAATTCATGTTTATTGAGTGAAAGCAACAATAAACATTTTTCAAAGCACATAGTAAACAACATAAAAATATAATATATAAATTAAGTGTAGTAAAAGGTTATATTCAAGAAAAACTAGAAAAAATATTAGCTTCGGGCGGAACGAAGCTATAATACCCTTCATAGGGGAATTTTTTTAACATCAAACCATATAAAATTACTTTTATATTGGTTTTGATCGAACAGTTTGTATGACAGCTATGTGCTATAGTGATCCGATCTCAAATTTTCGGATGTTATAACTTTGCCTTTAACAATAATATAAGTCAAATTTCGTGAGGATAATTTAATTAATAAAAAGTTTTCCATACAAGAACTAAATGTAGTTCGCTCAGTTTGTATGACAGCTATATGCTATAATGGTACGATCTGAGCAATATATTAGCATTTTGTATGTTTGTTCTACAGAATAATCTGTGGCAAATTTCGTGAAGATATTTTCTCAAATAAAAATGGTTGCCATACAAGGGCTCGATTTTGATCTATCAATTTGTATGGCGGCTATATGCTTAATTGATCCGATATCGTCGATTCCGACTAATGAACAGCTTCTTGGGAAGAAAAATATATGTGCAAAATATCATATCGATATCTCATAAACT